ATACTTTGCGGGTGGGAATGTGAAATGGTTCAGACTCCTTAGAGAATAGTGTGGCAATTCCTTCAAAAGTTAAACATTCTATATGACCTAGCAGTTCTGCTCCTAGCAATGTATCTGGTAGAATTGAAAATATATGTTTGCACAAAAACTTGTGCACCATTATTCGTAGCAGCATTTTTCATAATGGTCAAAGTGGAGTCAACTCAAATGTCCATCACCTGATGAATGGGTAAATGAGATGTGGTGTATCCATGCAGTACAATATTACTTAGCCAAAAAAGGACGAAGTACTAATTCATATTATAACCCAGATGAACCTTGAAACATCACGTTAAGCGAGAGAAGCCAGACATAGAAGGCTATAGATAACATAATTGTGTATTTCCAGAATAGGCGAATTTCACAGAGACAGAAAGTAGATTAGTATTTGCCAGGGACTGGGGAGAGGAAGGAATGGGGAATGCCTGCTAATGTGTATCAAGTTTCTTTTTGGGATGATAAAAATGTTCTATAATTAGATAGTGGTGATGGTTGCACTGCCTTTTGAGTACAATTTAAAAAACACTGAATTATACACTTTCAAAAGGTGCATTTTATGGTATGTGAATACCATTCACATTTAAACTCAATTTAAAAATCAAATAGAAATGAAGACACCAGCCTGACAGAGCAACAGTCAGACCCCAAAAAAGTTTTAAAAAAACTTAGCAGGAGGCCGGGCGCAATGGCTCAAGCCTGTAATCCCAGCACTTTGGGAGGCCGAGGCGGGTGGATCACGAGGTCAAGAGATCGAGACCATCCTGGTCAACAAGGTGAAACCTCGTCTCTACTAAAAATACAAAAATTAGCTGGGCATGATGGTGCGTGCCTGTAGTCACAGCTACTCGGGAGGCTGAGGCTGGAGAATTGCTTGAACCCAGGAGGCGGAGGTTGTGGTGACCCGAGATCGTGCCATTGCACTCCAGTCTGGGCAACAACAGCGAAACTCTGTCTCAAAAAAAAAAAAAAAAAAAAAAAACAAACTTAGCAGGGTCAGGGGCACGGGAGAGGAGCTGAGATGAGAGTTTTCCTTGAGCATAGGAGGTTGAGCTGCGATTGTGCTACTGCATTCCAATCTGGGTAACTGAGTGAAACTCTGTCTCTAAAAAATTTTAAAAAAGGAAAACAGTGGTATACTTCTAACAAACTACTACTACATGGATACTTTTGACAGTGAAGTGTCTTACTTGATAATTACACCTGCATAATAGACATAAACTGGGATTTACCTGTCTCAGGTAAACCAAAATGTGTGTTCTCCCTACTTTCTGGTGTGTTGAAACTGTTTTCCCTTCAGGGTAGAAATTGAAGAATATAAAATTCTTCCTGCATTCTTCTTTGTCAAGTGAAAAAAAAGGAAAAGACCAAGAAAGCCATGTAATTCAAGGAAACAGGAGAGAGAGATTTCTCTATGGAAATGAAGGACATAAATGTGTGTATCATTGTAGAGGTAATACAATCAGCACTTGATTCATTTGTATGATTTTTCTACTTTACTCCTGCACATAGCCAATCAGTGTTTGTATAAAGAGTTTAATATTGTAATATAATAAAACAGGCTGTGAGCTAAAGATGTACATCATCATAATTTGTGGAGCTTTTAAAAATTACTCTTGCTTGGATGTTAGTCTCAATTGTGATTTAATAGTTTTATTGTAGGGCTAGGGCAAGTTTGTGCACGCAGAATATATGTTTTAGTTCCGCAGTTGAATCTGGTAACTTTTTAAATTGAGAACTACTGCATTAAATCAGTGAGTTTTACTGATCTATTTATTGAACTATCTAGTTATTGTTTTATGCAAAAATAGTAAACAGCAGTAGAAACTGAGAGAACCTCAGACTATACTCACTTTAACAGTCCCCTCACCCACCCAACCTAGGGCCATGGCTGTAGGTAATCTAGCAATTGTGATTCCTCTTAAGTCTTTAATAATTGAGATTGAAAGGAATCATTTTTTCTCTCTTTTTTAAAGTTACCTTGAAGCTGGAGTAGTAGTGGGAAGTAAGAAGCTCAAGTTCTCTTGCAAATGCTTGAAACTACAGTATATCCATGGAAGGCAGGGAAAGGCACCAGTGTTAATGTGCAGAGTAGGAGGGATTGGGAAATGGAGACCTTTGAGGAGGTCAGGACTCTTAAGTTAGCTGATAACTGCTCATGGCATTTGTATTTTGACAGCTCATTGTGGCATCAGATAAACTGCTTTTTAACAGGGAACATAGTGCAATGTAGTGGTCCTTCTTCATGCTCTAATTTCCTTTGTGCAGCTATATACAACTTAGTATAAATTGTTTTAATACCGTGCTACTGAAAAGTACCATAAACTCATGAAATTAGTGTTAGGTGGCTCCTTGAGGGTTTTATCACACCAGTGACATTTTTGACCACTATTTAAATAGTTCCAGTGGTGATACTGTACTGTATGGAAAAAGACATGATATTGGAACCAAAGTTTCAACTCTTCCTTTTATGACTTTGGGTAAGTACTGATTGTTTTGACTTGCAGTTGCTTCATTCAGGAAGTGGAACAGATGCTATCTATCTCACAGGGTTATTGTTACTGTTACATGTGATAATATATATTAAAGTCTGACACAGCTACTGATAAATATTAAGTTGCCTTCCCTTCTGCAGTTCAGTGAAGAATAACTTCTTTTTTATTTATTTATTTATTTATTTATTTATTTATTTATTTATTTATTTTTATTAAGAGATGAGGTCTCACTATGTTGCCCAGGCTGATCTTGGACTTCTGAGCTCAAGTGATCCTCTCATTTCATCCTTCCAAAGTGCTAGGATTACAAGTGTAAGTCACGATGCCCAGTCCTGCAATAACTCATAACTCCAAAAAATTGGTACTTAGAGAATGTCTAACAGCCTGAGCTTGTGAAAGCTCAGGTTGTAGCAGCTGAGGTTATAGGAGTCAACGAAACAGACTTGATCTTATCCCTTGCTTACAGTTTGGTTGAGGGAAAATAAATTAAATATTTAGTTGTATAAGCAAGTAATTACAGTTGAGTTAAATGCCATAAGAGAGAAGTACAGTCTGTTAGGAAAGTTCATCAGAAGAAGGCCCTGGAACAGAAAGGAGTTAGGAACTTTCTAAGTACACACAGCCTGTGTCAAGAAGCTTTCTGGGCAAGAGGAAGAGTGTCAAGGAATGAGGAGTTCCATGAGTAGAGGAGTGGCAGGATAAAGCAGGACCTTCCAGGCCACGTTAAAAGCTTGGACTTTTAAGAACAGTGATAAGTGATATGATTATATTGGCATGTTAAAAGGTTGCTGTAACGAAGATGAGGAAATTGCATTGGAAGGAAATAAAAATGCCTGCTGAGACCAGTTAGGGAGCTGTTGCAGTGCTTAGGCTAAAGGTGAACAGTGGCTGGTATAGAAAAGAAATAGGCTTGGTGTATTTGGTTTAAGAAAATACTGGGTTTTGAGATACCTGTAGGATATCTAAGTTGAGTAGTTGAGAGTGTGGTTGGAAATAGCCAGTTAGGCTAGTGAGTTAACTCTGGCCGAGGCCTTTGCGGTAGGCTGATATAAACATGAGTTTCTGGTATTTATCTTTTATGCAGACTTCACAGCAACTTGAGTGCATGTGTTGTGAGTATTTTTACACTCATTGTTTTACAATTTTTAATATTAAGTAATGGTTATCACTTTATTAAGTAATGGTTAATACATTATTTTACAGTTTTTAATATTAGGTAATGGTAATAATAATGGCCAACATTATTGAGCACATGTGCAGAATACTAGGCCAAATACATTATATGTGTTGTCTCTTAATCTTTACAAGTCTGTGAGCATTGTTATTAGTCCAGTGTTTTAAAGATTTGCCATCTGAAGCTTAGAGAAATTGAGGAACTTCAAAGCAACACATGTAGTAAGTGCTGGAGCTGAGGTTTGAATTGAGGCTGGCATGCTGCAGAACCTGTCCTGTTAACCATTACTGTATGTCACTTCTCTGTGAAATTGAACCAGCCAACCAAACAAAACAGAATGACTGAGAAACCGTTTATTACTGAACTTTTATGGAAGACCTGGGTATACTACACATTGTACTATAGATGATTTATTTACTTTCTCATATCAACATTCACATGGCCTGTGAAGTATACTTTTTGCCTCATTTTAAAAATGAAACTGGCTAAGTGACTTGGTCAAGATCATAGAAGAACTAGGATTCAAAATTGACTCTTTCGTGTTATACTACTTAAAAAAAAAAAACTGTGTTGACTTAAAAATAAGAAAGTTTCCATGGGGAACACAATTAGATTTAGTGGTTCCCATATATCATGCCATGGTCATTCTAGTTCTTAAAAAAAAATTCAGATCTCAATGTTTAAAATTATAGATTGAACTTAGAGAACAAACAGCTGAGAAAATTGAAATACTTAAATGATAGGTATTTTATATGTACTCAAAGTAAAGATTTTATTAAAATTATTTTAGAAGAGATAAAATGGGAAAATTTTTTCTAGTAAAATTGTATCCATTTTATAATATCTGTGAATAAATTAGACAAAATTATAATATTGATATCTTGACTAGTTTTTTCTCAATAGTTAATTGTTAGCATTTGTCTAGGACTGCTTTGTGATCTTGCTGTATTTATTCCATCCTTCAGAATTTCTTCTATTTCTTCCTTAGTTGTTTTTTTTTGAGACGGAGTTTCACTCATGTTACCCAGGCTGGAGTGCAATGGCGCGATCTCGGCTCACCACAACCTCCGCCTCCTGGGTTCAGGCAATTCTCCTGCCTCAGCCTCCTGAGTAGCTGGGATTACAGGCACGCACCACCATGCCCAGCTAATTTTTTGTATTTTTAGTAGAGACGGGGTTTCACCATGTTGACCAGGATGGTCTCGATCTACTGACCTCGTGATCCGCCTGCCTCGGCCTCCCAAAGTGCTGGGATTACAGGCTTGAGCCACCGCGCCCGGCCCTCTTCCTTAGTTTTGAGAAGACAAACACAAAGTAAGTCAATGAGGTGACACTATAATGCGTATTAAATATTGGCTTCTTATAGCATCAGAGTTAAGACTTATCTTACCGGTACTTTCTGCTGCCTATTAAAAATTAGTGAGAGGGAGTTAAGCATAGTATTAACAGTGTAGCTCCTTCAGGTTTTGGCTTTTGGTATTCCCTGTGTTCAGTTAGCCCTTTGCAGAGTTAGTCTTAGGTATATACCAAAAAAGAAAAAAAAAAAAATCCTCTATCACTTTTTTACTGTCAGTTGATGATGAGGGACATCTTTTGGGTACCAAATGCCTGTAAAGTAATGTTATATTTGATTTTTTTTCCCGATTGATGGGTACACCATTGAGAGCTATGGCCATGGGGATTCTTATTACAGTAAGAAAAAGCCTATCTCCTGATGCTAGCCGAACCTGTCTGAAACAGATCATTGGATTCTGATTGGTTGGCTGGATGTGAGAGAATTTGGAAGCAGCCTTACAAGGTACTTTTGATTTTAGGAAGCCAAATCAGCAAGATTACTCTTCCACTGTCTCCTGCCTTGTCTTTGTTACAGTCATTTATTAATTTGTCTTTTTTATATGATTATGATCTGTGTATATGACAAGAATTGCTTGCTCTTTGAATGCTATCTTCTGTCACCCAACACTGCTGTTTTTTAGCAGGTTTTGAGTACTTGACTCTCACATCATATTTTCTTATGAAGACTGTGCTCTACTGAGTTACCTGTAGGATATCAGAAACAGTCAACTTCAGAACTGTGTGAGAAATTTCATTTTTAAGGCCACCATATATAATATTTTTTTTTGTATGGTCTGTATTTATTTGTAAGGTATCTTTGCTTTCTATTTCCATCTTTCTCTATCATCTGGCATTTTGATTTAGATGATTTTGATCTTCTCAGCACTTTAGATATGTTATTAGTACAGTCTTTATGGCTAGAATAGAAGTTACAAGATGAAATGACAGATCAGAGAAAGAATGGTTATGACTCGACATGAAAATGACCTACCTAAACATTTTTGATTGGTAGTTTCCTTGTCCTTTTGGGAACAGATTATAATCAGCTCTTAAATTATCAGTATGTATGTATCAGGATGCTTTCTGGTGCAAGTAACAGAGAGGCTAATCAAAACAGGAAGGATTTTATCATCTCATATAATGAGAAGTACAATAGAGTGGTTCCAGGGTTGGTTAACTCCACTCCCTCTTTCATCTTTTTTATTATTTTCATTTTCTTCTATTCTTTCATTCTAAAATTTTTGTTTAATTGCCCATGACTATTAGCCTAGTCTCTAAGCAGTGTGTGGTTGACATAAACTGTTTATACCCGTGGGGAGAAGAAACCGTAGTTTATAGGCTGCTTTGCTCTGAATTATTTCTAATGATTCTAGTATATTTTCTGTTTCATCTTTTATTTGCATAGTTGAAGCCAAAGGAATATGAGTTGTTTCCTAGATATCTAACAGTGTTTATTTGTATATTACATGTAAACACTTAATGAAACGAACTTTTAAAAAGCACAGTGTTTCTCTCTGTAGTCAGAAGCTCCGCAGACGATAAAACACCCTGTCAGTAAATCCATTGCACTTACTGTGATGTCCCTTGAGTTGCAAAACATATTAATCTTTGCTTAGCAGAGATTATAATCTTCAAGTAATATTACATATTTTATTTTTAGAAGTGCTTTATAGATATTAGAAACATGGAATGTTGGAGCTGAAATACTGGGTAACATTTGTAGAGTACTTTATATGTGCTTGGCACTTAGTTTTACACATATCAATGTGTTTATTCTTCAGAATACCCACATAATATATATGTTATTATCCTTTACAGTTAGACACAGAGAAGTGAAATGACATTTCCAAGATCACACAGTAGCAAAGCCAGAATACCACTAATGATAGCTTCTCATCACATTTAAAATAAATTCTCTCCTTTTTGGAATCTGACCCCTGCTTTTTTTTTCTTTTTTTTTTTTTTTTTTTTTTTTTTTTTTCATTTTCCTACAAATGCCCTATGCTTTATTCCCACTCATTGTGGTTTTATGAACATTTGATATCCTGTTCTTTCACATTACGTACCCTCTATCCAAAAAAAATATTAACAAACGAAGTTAATAATAATCAAAACTCATACTTGCTCCCTTCTTTATTGTATTAGTAAATTATATACATGTTTGTCACTGAATGTGGCACTATATTGACATTTATTCATGTGACTCTCTTGAAAGCAGAAAGATTTTTAAAAAATTTGTTTCTTGAGTATTTAGCATTTTGTTTAATACGTAATATTTGCAACTTATGTGTGTATTGGACGGAGCTTTGTGGCTTTGAAACTGTTACTTCTGAATCTCAGTTTCTTTTGCCTGTGAAATGTGAATAATTTGGACTAGAATCTCTGCTCTTTTAACTTTTTACAACTTAGCGTTTTATGTTTAGTTTATAAAAGAAAACCATATCAAGATTTAAATTTTAAGATTGCTTTTGTAGTATTAACAAAGCATGTTAACACATTATTAGACTTTACAGTGAAACTCAGTAGAAAAAATGAAATCAGTATTAACTAATAATGAGAAAAGCAGAGTTGCAGAAAAATAAGTATAGTGTGTTACTTTTGTGTAAGTAAAATGGATAAATAAGAAAGAACACATATATCTTCCTACATTTGTGGAAAAGAAACACAGTAAGGCTAAATCAGTAAGCACTGAAATTGGTTACCTACAAAGGGGAGGTAGGGAAAAGTGTCCATTCTTTGATTATACATTTTAGTATAGTTTGGACTTGGAGAAGCACATTAATGTTCTACATATTAAAAAAAAAAATGATGGGGGAAAACATCGTAAAACTGAATGCAAACAGACATGAACCCAACTGTATTCTAAGTGAGTAACAATAAGTCTTAATGGGGGCTAAGGGACAAAGTTAACTGATCCATCTAAAATTTGAACATAGCTTTTGACTATATCCCGTTAGTTTATGGGGAAAAACTACAAACAAATATGGAGCTCTTTTTTTTTTTTTTTTAAGTGATTTTTGTTGTTTTTGTAATGGTATAAGTGAGACAATTCTGAAACAATTTTATTTGTATTGCAGGCAGTGCTTCTCAACCAGTGGTAGTTTTCACCCCTAGGGAATTTGGCAATGCCTGGAGATACTTTGAACTGGTCATGACTTAGAGGGAGGTGCTACTGGCATCTAGTGGAGAGGGGTGAAGTTATGTTACTAAGCATTGTACAATACACAGGACCTCCCAACACTTCCCCGCCAAACCAAGAATTATTTCTGGTCTAAAATGTCAATAGTGGACCATTAAGAAACTCCAGGCCAGACATGTGGCCTACGCCTATAATCTCGGTACTTTGGGATGTTGAGGCTGGCAGATCACTTGTCAGGAGTTTGAGACCAGCCTGGCCAGCATGGTGAAACCCTGTCTCTACTAAAAATAAAAAAAAAATTTACCAGGTGTGGTAGCATGCGACTGTGGTCCCAGCAATCCGGGAGGCTGGTGGAGAATCGCTTGAACCCAGGAGGTGGAGGTTGCAGTGAGCCCAGATCGCTTCACTGCACTCCAGTCTGGGGGACAGAGCGAGAACCTGCCTCAAAAAAAAAAGAAAGAAGAAACTCTGGATTAAGGAAATGCATTGATGTTGGTGCAAGCTAGGGTTATTAATGATAGGAGAAGGGAAGTTCTGGAATATAGAAATGGGAAGGCAGAGAAGAATCTTGGGGAAATTGGAGGTATCAATATGAACATGTATTCATATTATATTTATATATTTCACAGAAATGGCCAAGCCACAGTGGTACCACCCAGATCTTGATTTCTAAATACACTTCCCAGTGAAGGGAACCAGAAACACTTGGATAAATGGCTGATTCTAGGGATGACTCAGGAAGGTACCAGATCAGTGTAGAACATCTTGCTGGACCAGAAAGTAAGAAAATGCTCAAGGAAATGCTGAGGAATATTCTGTAGAATGACTGGCTTATATTCTTGAAAATGTCAGTGTCGTGAAAGAGAAAGGCCAAGAAACTGCTCTAGATTACAGGAGACAAAACTGACAGCTAAATGTAATATATGGTCCTGAATTGATCCTGTTACTGAAGAGGGTAAAAAAGTCCTAAAGAACGTTATTGGGATAAGTGAAAAATTTGCACTTATGGCCTGCACTTTAAAGAATTGCGGCAATGTTGTATTTATTGAATTTGATAACTGTGCTGTGGTTATATTAATATTAGAGAATATTCTTAGGAAATTTACACTTAAATATTGAGGTGTAAAGCGCGTAATATATGCAACTTACCCACAAGTGGTTCAGAATAATACTTTTATTTATGTATTTTTATATAGATGTGTAGTACATATGCACATAAACATATCCATGAGAGCAAGGAGAGAAAGAATGAAAGTATATGAAAAAAGTGTTAAAAATTGGTGAATCTAGGTAATAGGCAGTCTCTATACTGTTCTTGTAACTTTTCAGTAAGTTTGAAATTATTTTTAAAATACAGAGTTAAAAGTTGTAAGTTAAACAGTAAAATAAGAGTTTTTCTAAATGGTTGCAAATGTGAGTATACTTGCTAAAGACAAGCTTTATATTTTAAGGCATGTGTGAAATTTAAATTGTGAAAGGATAGATACACTGGATCTAGGAAGATCTATATGCCAAAGTATGAGCAAATAGGAAATGGCAGCACTTGGAGCTTGAAAGATTGTGATGCCTCTGGCATGACTGCTGAGGATGGAAAGAACTAGGCTATGAGAGCAGTGGTGGGGTTTCTTTATGTCACTGGGGTTTGTAGTCAGTGCTCTTTTGGCAGCAGTGAGATGAGGATTTCTGTGGTACGGCTGGGCAAGTGGCAGCCAGACTACTGACATGGGGAGAGCCCTGGACCTACTGTCCCTGGGCAAGGCTGGTGTATTGTGCCTGAGACTAGCTGCTCTGGGAAAACGGATACAGAGCTTCAGCTTCTCATCCCCTCATGAAGGCAGCAGAATACAGCAGTTGGGAGTGCTCTTCTGGAGTAACACAGACCCGAGTTGTCTTGGTTCTAGTATTTAGCATCTGCGACCTTGGCGGGGTGATATTTACTGCCTAGGCTTCAGTTCTTTTACAGATTTAAAATGGGAATAATTATAATGCCTATCTTATAAAGAAGTTATTGGAATTTAAAATGTTATGTGTAAAGTGCATTGCGGTTGTTACTATGCAGCAGGGCCTTAGAAAACCTTTATTTCTCCATTCAACCAACTGATTACATTATAAAAAACTTGACTCTTTGTATGAATTTAACTTATCTGATTCAATGGCTGTGAACATATTTTAAATACAGACTAAGCACCCTGATCCTAAATGTTTGGGACCAGAAGGGTTTTGGGTTTCAGATTTTCTCTGCTTTTTTGAGTCAGAAAAAAAATCATATGCATAATGAGATACCTTGGGGATGGGACCCAAGTCTAAACATGCAATTTCTTTCTTTCTTATATACCTTCTACACATAGCCTGAAGGTAGTTTTACACAGTATTTTTACTAATTTTGTGCATGAAACAAAGTTGTGGCTGTGTTTGACTGTGGCAAATGTTGGTGCTGAAAAATTTTCAGATTTTGGAGCATTTCAGATTTTGGATTTTCACATTAAGGCTATTCAACCTGTATTATGCAAATATGCTTGAGAGGCTTGATGAAAGATTTTTTTTTTTTTTAAATCTTTCCACATTGGATAACAGAAATGAATGGAACTCATACCCATTTCCCATCACTGAAAATTGCCAAGTGTATTTTTACATTTGGGGAAAAAAAGACTTCAGAAGTCATTTGAGGAAAAAAACTGTTGAAAAAGTTACTGTTTTGATTAGGAATTACTATTTAGTATTCTAACCCCATTATGTAGGGTTCCGCAAACTTTTCCCTTTTCTGACTGTACACATACGAGATGGGATTCTTTGATGTGGTTTACATTAAAACTAGAAGTTAAAGTTATCTTCCTAGTTAAATGAAGCGGAATCCCTCTTTAACACCACTTTGATACAGTCTCATTTTTTCATTCATGAGATTATTTTCTGGTATGCATTTTTATAAATCAGATAATTAGATTTATTATTAATTATAGTTACCATAATGGCTTTCATATTGCTACATATTTATGTTTTCATTATTTTTAAGGCTGTTATCCATTTGTGGCAAGTTATACTAGTTTTATAGCAGCAATAAACTTTTGTATTTGAGTACATTTATTAAAATAAAAAATAATGTAAAAAATAGGTAAAAATGTATAGAGTGGTAATCTAATTAGGGCAAAGATTGACAGGTTTGTGTATGAATGACTAAAGTTCAGGAACAACTGCTCTGTTAGTAGAAAAGTTCCTGGATGCATTAACTAAGACCTTAAACAGTTTACTTATCCTCCTTGAACAGTTTACTCACCCTCCTTGGGTTTCAGTGTCTTTGCTGAAGGGAATAGGAGTTACGATGCAAGATGATTTCCAAGGTAACTTGAAAATTATAGGATTTTACCATCCTTCGGGCAGCTTGATTGGAGTTTTGTAAAGAAAAAGGCTTAGATTAAAATGGATCCTGAACAGTATTGACTCGGCAGCACTTGGTCTTTCTTCTTTTCATTTGACAGACTACAATAAAAGGGAAAAACCAAAGTATCTACCATGCTTAAGAAAAAGTTTAAAAATATATTACTAATTTTATCTTTCATATTTAGACGAATTTGACATTTAGTTATTGGAAATTAAAATGTTTTTCATTTAATTATTTTCTCCTAATTTTCATTGTGCATTTAAAAAGATGATAATATGTTTGAAGAGAAGTATACAAAATAGCAGGTACACAGGAAATACTTTGTTTTCAGATCATAAATATTAACATTATAAATGTTAAGGTGTTCTATACCATGCTTGAAAATGTGTGTGTTAGTATAGCAGTAGTAATACTGTCTCTTTTGGACCACTTTCCCCAAAATATTTGCAAATGTATGGTATTTTATTCTAGCCTCATGTGGTTCATATAATGTATATAATTTCAATTTTCCTGTTATGAAAGGTCATTTTTACTTAGACATTGCCAGGTACCAAAGGTTATACAACTAGTTTAGTGACAAATTTGAGGCTCGGATCCAGGTTTTCTCACTTGGCTTGCAATAAACCTTCTCAATCAGTTTATGAAGAAAGAGTAACTGGAAATTGCACAAGATACTAAAGTAGAAGCAACATTTCAGTAATGTTTAAAGTTCATTCTGGAATGTTTTCTGGCATTCAGGATTGTTTTCTTAATTTTAAAAGCATCCATTAGTTCTTGTTTTGTAGTAACTTTTTCTTACCACAACAGTGGTGTGTTTTTAGGAAAAAAAAGAAAATATTTTTTAAAAATTGTAAGTTATTGCTTTAAATAACTTGAGTATTTGCTGCTTTTATCTGTGAACACAGTATCTATAGAATTTTTTTCTTTTGACTTTCATTTTTGGTTTGGGGGTACGTGTGTATGTTTGTTACATGAGTAAATTGCGTGTCGCTGGGGTTTTGCGTATGAATATTCATGTGACCCAAATAGTGAGCACAGTACATGATAGTTTTTCAGTCTTTATCCCCCACCCACGCGTCTCCCTCTAGTAGCCTCCAGTGTTTGTTGTTCTCAACTTTGTGTCTATATACGCTCAGTGTTTAGCTCTCACTTATAAATGAGAACATGTGGTATTTGGTTTTCCGTTCCTGTTAATTCGCTTAAGATTATGACCTCCAGCTGCATCCATGTTGCTGCAAAGTACACTATTCTGTTCTTTTTATGACTGTGTAGTGTTCCGTGGTGTATATGCATCACATTTTCTTTATCCATTCCACTGTTGATGGACATCTAGGTTGATTTTGTGTCTTTGCTGCTGTGCATAGTATTATGATAAAAATACTTGTGTCTTTCTGGTAGAACAGTTTATTTTCCTTTGGGTATATACCCAATAAAGAGATTGCTGGGTCAAATGGTAGTTCTGCTTTAAGTTCTTTGAGAAATCTCCAAACTGCTCTCCACAGTTGCTAAACTAATCTGCATTCTCACCAACAGTGTGTAAATGTTCCCAGTTCTCTGCAACCTCACAAACATCCTTTTTTTTTTTTTTTTTTTTTTTTTTTGAGACAGAGTTTTACTCTGTCTGCTAGACTGAAGTGCAGTGGCGTGATCTTGGTTCACTGCAACCCTCCGCCCCGGGTTCAAGTGATTCTCATGCTTCAGCCTACCGAATAGCTGGGATCACAGGCAGCTGCCACCATACCTGGCTGATGTTTGTATTTTCAGCAGAGACGGGATGTCACCATGTTGGCCAGGCTGGTCTTGAACTCCAGACCACATGTAATCTGCCTGCCTCGGTCTCCCAAAGTGCTGGGCAAACCCACCAACATCTATCTACAGAATATTTAAAAACAAAACTAGAATTATATTTTTTCTATATGTTATTTTTTCTATATGTTTTTCTATGTGTTATTGTATATGTTATTTTGTCTTTATCTTATTTTTTCCTTAAAATAAATTCTTGAAAGTAGAATGGATTTTTGGAGGGGAAGCTGAAATTCATTTCTTTGTGAAATACTAAGTTTTTAAATGTTGGCCAAATTATTTAAAAACTTTTCATCTGTAAAATGATTTGGGGTCGTTCATTTGCAATAGTAGTGTTTCCGTTCCTTGGGGCTGAGTTTGCTGTTTTCGTTTTACATTTTGTCCCATTAGTATTGTCTGTATGCCTAAGACTCCCAAATGCATACATTTATTCCTGATGTATGAGTCTTACGTCCACTTTCCTATTTGACATTTTCACTTGTCCATGACCATCTCAAGTTTACTATGTCCAAAATTGAATTCTTAAGTTCCACTCTTTTAAAAAATTAATACTTAAAGATTTTCTTTTGACAGATGCCTGTTTCTTAAAAGAGTTCAGTTG